GGGGAGCACTGGGGCGCGAACTGGGCTGGACTGGGGCACGAACTGGGCTGCACTGGGGAGCATTGGGCTGTACGGGGGAGCACTGGGTTGCGAACTGGGCTGGACTGGGGAGCATTGGGCTGTACGGGGGAGCACTGGGGCACGAACTGGGCTGGACTGGGGAGCATTGGGCTGTATGGGGGAGCACTGGGCAGGACTAGGAGCATTGGGGAGCACTGGGCTGTGCTGAGGAGCACTGGGCTGTACTGGGCAGCTCTGGGGAACATTGGGCTGTACTGGGGAGCACTGGGGCGCGAACTGGACTGGACTGGGGCACGAACTGGGCTGGACTGGGGAGCACTGGGGCGCGAACTGGACTGGACTGGGGCACGAACTGGGCTGCACTGGGGAGCATTGGGCTGTACGGGGGAGCACTGGGTCGCGAACTGGGCTGGACTGGGGAGCATTGGGCTGTACGGGGGAGCACTGGGCAGGACTAGGAGCATTGGGGAGCACTGGGCTGTGCTGAGGAGCACTGGGCTGTACTGGGCAGCTCTGGGGAACATTGGGCTGTACTGGGGAGCACTGGGCTGTACGGGGGAGCACTGGGCAGGACTAGGAGCATTGGGGAGCACTGGGCTGTGCTGAGGAGCACTGGGCTGTACTGGGCAGCTCTGGGGAACATTGGGCTGTACTGGGGAGCACTGGCCTGTACCGAGCTGTACCAGGGAGTGCTGGGCAGCACTGGGAAGCACCAGGCTGTACTAGGCAGCACTGGGGAGCACTGGGCTATACTGGGCAGCACTGGGGAGCATTGAGCTGTACTGTGGAACACTGGGCAGCACTGGGGAGCACTGATGTGTACTGGGAAGCACTGGGCTATACTGGGCAGCACTGGGGCAGCCCCACAGCACTGCCCAGAGCTGCATGGGGGGCGCAGGCCCCCCCCATGGCCCTCTGCCACCCCATATCTGCCCCACATCCACCCCGGCACCACTGGAGGGGCGGAAGGGCCTTGGGGGGCCCCAGCCCAGTGCCCCCCCTGCTGGGATGGGATGGGCACCCCCAGCTCCTGGGCAGGCTCTGGTGGCCCTTGGGGCCAGGGGCTGGCCCTGGGGCCCACTGTGCCACCCGCAATCAGCACCCTGGGGCCCCCTGAGGACATTTCTCAGGGCATTTGTCCCCAGCCACCACGCTGGGCTGTGCCTTGGGGCTGCAGCGAGGGCCACGGGGATGGAGGGGTCACAGCCTGGCGAGCTTTGCTGTCGGCTTTGGGGAGTCTGTGATTCCACCCCTATTCACTCTGGTTTTAACGCCGTGCTCACGCAGCGTGGCGGTGCAGATGCCAAGGAGTCCCTCACGGAATTAGGGAAGAGCAAAACCGACCTTTTTGGAGGGGAAAAAAACCCTCCAAAAACCCACCAGAGAAGGGGCAGTTGTTTTCCCTTCTCGGTGCTCATGTGACGTTTGCTCTCCAGAGTTTAAGAGTTTTTATAGTCGTCAAGCCACGTGTGAATCATCCCAATTCCACACACATCCCGCCCCAGCCCGGAGCGGGCTCGGTAGCCCTCCGTCATCCTCCTGGGAAGCAGCGAAGGGGGCTCCTGGGCAGGGATGGGCAGGGGATGCAGCTGCCTGCCGGGCCTGAGCCCCCCCTCCTTGCCGTGCCACGTGCAGTTTGCAACTAAACCATTTTCTGTTCGTCATTGGGTGCTTGCTCCCAGATATTTTTCGGTCATCTCAGGGCGGGTTATGTGGTTTATGGCAGGAAAAGTTCGTGCTCTGGTGGTGTCTTGCAAAAGCGCTCTGCACAGTGCCAGCAGCAGGTGAAGGATGCCGGGTTAAGGGGGATTTTGGGGTGTTTTTTTCCCTGGAGAAGGCAATCAGCCTGGGTTGGGAGCAAGACCACCCCCGTTGTCCCCCCCTCCCTGGCTCGGGTAGCACTTTGCAGACGTGGTGCTGACAGCGCGACGAGCCGATGCAATATTCATCCTGACATTTCTCTCTGCGCCAGCCCTTCCCAGCGCTCCAGCTGGCAGCCGGCGCAGGCACCGGCTTTTCGGGCCACGGTGGCAGGGTGGCACGGGGCTGAGCCAACCTCCCCCGGGGAGGGAACCGGGGGGGGCTTCTGCCTCCCTTCCCCTTTTGGACCATTCCTCTCCCGTTCACTGTAACCCCTCCAGCTCGTTCCTGGAGCGGTTTAACCGAGGGCAGGGGCTCCCAGCCCTGCCTGCAGCAGGCAGAGATCCAGCTCTGCTCCCTTCGGCTTCCGCAGCCGGAGCCCACGAGCGCTTCGGCATGTCGCCGACATGTGCGCAAGCGGTGTCGTGCAATGAGCGGTAAAGACACCAAGACCCCAGCGTGGTTAGAAGGAGCTTGGGACCATCCCTGGGGTGTGTGGCTGTCTGAGGGCACATGCCCTCAGCCACACGAGGGTCACACGTTGTCCGCCCCAGCAAGGGAGACCAGTGATGGAGGCAGCGAAACCTCTGCATGGGTGGTGGAGGGGTGAATTCCCAGCTGGTGGCCGGCACGGTCCCATGCCAGCAGCAGCAGGACACAGCTCTCCACCTTCCTCTGCCTCTCCTGCCTTCATCACCCTTGGGACAGCCCTTGCCCTTCCTAACCTGTTTCACCCTGGGTTTGGGGACCTTCCCCTTCTCTGCTGGGTTCTCTGCTGGGGGGTTGGACTAGATGACCTCTAGGGTTCCCTTCCAACCCAAAACATTCTATGATTCTATGATCCAACCCCCTCCTGCAGCAACACGCCTCAAGTCCCCCACGGCAAAGCCATGGCCGGGAGCTGCGAAGAGGAGTTGTGCTTCTCCTCTTCCCACTGCATGCTGGCAATCTACTGGGCTTGCATTTAATGAACGCAATTAGTGCAAATGGGTTTATTCTCATTAGTGAGCCATCCAGGGCGGGTGTCTGCGTGGGATGGGCAGCAGCGTGGCATGCAGGGAGCAACGTCTCGCCTATGCTTTCCCCAGGCTCTCCACACCTCCTCCGGCTCGTCAGATGCTGCCGGCTCAGCGGTGCCACTGCCGCTCGGGAGCTGAAGCCTGGGGAAGTGAGGATGAAACAGAGCAAGCTTTGGGAATGGAGGAGAGCCAGCGAGGTATGGCAACAGCTGAGCATCGCCTGGCTTGGCATGCCGAGCAGGCGAGGCATCGTGGGAGCGACATCGGCGCGCTCATTCACAGTGACACCGATGTTTTTTTGCTTTTAAGCTGGCCCGATGGATGCAGCAAGGGATGGGGAGCTGAGAGTTGAGCCTGCCGGTGCTGGGAAGTCTCCCCAGGAGCAGGCAATGTTCGCCACTTGCTGAGATGCTCTTAACGTGCGGAAGACTGAAATACCTGCATGGCATCCGCACCACGCTCAGCGGTGAGGGGTCTCATTGCAAAACCCACGCTGCTGCCTTGCCCCTGGCCCCAGAGATGACCCAAGGCTAAGCAGCCTCAAACCGCAGCCACCCATTTAGCTGGGAAATCATTCATCTACAAGGGCCCTACAAAACCAGGGAGAAAATTCAGGGCATGGTAAATTTGGTAGGAGCAGGGCTGAGTGCGAGGAGGGGGGATTCAGGGGGATGCTTCGCTTTGCTTCTCTTTGCTTTGCTTTGCTTTGCTTTGCTTTGCTTCGCTTTGCTTTGCTTCGCTTTGCTTTGCTTTGCTTTGCTTTGCTGCAGCCCAGGCAGAAGCTGGACACTTGTCCTGCTGTCCTGCTCTCCAGCACCCCTTCCCCAGCCTCTGACTGCAGCAAGGACGGGGCTCAGACCCTCAGAATCTCCCCAAAACAGCCCCAAATGAGGCCATTCCCCTCTGGGCTATGGGTCAGACCACAGAGGGCCGGATCCTGCGTTGGGAGTGCTGGAGGTAGCACTGGGGAAAGCATGCTCGCTGCCAGGGATGGGAGAAGCAAGAAAGGAGAAGGGATGGACATCAAAATTAGAGCTTTCAGGTGCCTCACAATTTATAAGCAATGGTGATTTTGAGCAAGGAGCCATGTCCCACCCTGAACAAGCCTGATCCCCCCACCCAGCGCTGGCTCATCTTGTGCAACCAGAAAGCTGCGGCTCGGCAGGGACTGAAGCCCCGAGAGGCTTCGCTTTCCCTTGCTGATGGACATGGAATTTCCTGCCAAACCCCGTACCCCGGTGGGGAGACCCAGCTGGGAAGGGGACCCAGCCACAACCAGGGTGGGAACCCACCTCCCCAGGGGCTGGCAAGCACAGAGCATCGTCTCCAGAGGCTTGAAACAAATCCAAAATTTTATTTCCAATGAGTACACAGACCACGTGGGATGGGGATGCGCTACATCACAACGCCGACCTCCCCGTGCTGGCTTTCGCTTACAACCGCCCCCTCCCCAAAACCCTGGCAGCGGCAGGCTGGCACCGGAGGGACGGACTCGCCCCCGCCACCAGCAACCTTGGCAGAAAGGAAAAAAAACCAACAAAAAAAAGAAAAGTCCTTTTCCAGCACTCCAGATATTTTGCTTCAAAAGCCTGGGGATAGAGTTGAATGCCTTTTGCTACCACGCTGGAAATACAGCATCGGGATGGAGGGATGACTGGTATTTTTGTTGCAAGGGGAGGGGGGGGGAAATGATCTTGGCAGGCGATCTCTGCTTGGCTAACAAAGGCGTATCTGTGTAAATATAAATCCTGGGGTGAAATACCTGGCAGCACACCAATGTCAACACCACTACCAACATAAAATAAAGACCAGCAACGTAAAACACCTTCAATGAGTAGTTTAGGCTAACTCAAAATTCCCGCCCGCCCTTCACAGAGCTTTGTTTCTTCGTTTATTTATTAAGAATTCGAGTTGTAAAATACACAAGTAGTTAAAAAAAAAATTATTACAAATCACTTCATGACAGCATTTGAGGAGGGTCGGGGTGTGAGCCCCGGGTCAGACCGGCTGTGCTTCACTCTCTGCGACGGCAAATCGGCATTAAAAAGAAAAGACAAACCCGGGACGGGGTATTTACACGCCTGCCTTGTAACACCAGGAGTGAAACCAGCTGCAGAGCTGACGACTCTGTCCGTCCTTCGCCCTAAAGCTACATGAGCTGTGGTAAAAAGATTGAAACAAGGAGGTTGGGGGGCGGGGGGGGTGGGCGAAAGCCACCGTGGGAGGGCTGGGACCATCGAGGCGTCTTGTGTCGTATAAACGTTCCCAGATGCCAAAAGGTTTGAGGCCAGTGTAAGAACCGCTGGTTGTCCCTGTAGACTAGAAAAAGAGTATGAAAAGGTAGAAAAACCAAAATGCACTTGTTACGGGCTAGAAAGATTTGCCGGAAGGTACCTAAAGACTACCGCCCTCTGGAATCCACGGGGATTTTTAAGCTGATACCTGATTCAGAAGTACGGTTTAGCGGGGTCACTGCAGACCCCCGAAACCCCTACGTGACACCCACCTAATTTTGCAGGCAGATCCCCAAGTTATGATTCCCAAAGTTTCCCAGGAGGATGGATGAGTGGGGAAAGCCGGGAGGTGTTTAGCAGCGGAAAGGAGAGGCAAGCTGTGTCTGCAGAAGTATTAACCCGAGGCAGAGCTGAAAAAAAAAGGTGGCGGGTGTCCCCCGAAAGGCTGATGGTGGATGAACCGGACCTGGGAATAATTCCCCAGCCTGAGGCCGAGCTCGGGCTGTGTGTAAACAAGGTATCAGGCACCTCCGTGAAGGGGTGGCCCCACGGCTCCCCAGGCTGCCCCGCTGCCCGGGGCGGTGGGGGGGGACAAGGGAGCCAGTGAGTTTGGGACGGGGCGGGAGCATCCCATGCCGGGGCAGCATCCCTGCCCAACCCCAAGGGGAGGAGATGCTGCCAGGAGGCCGAAGGAGCAGGACACGGACCAAGCGAGGAGGGCAGAGGCACAGAGGTGTAGGAGAAGAGGAAAGACCCGGAAAGAAGCGGTCGGCTTTGATTTTCGGATTTTGAGCTACCCCACGACGCCCGGGGGGCTGGCACCTACCCTAAGGCAGGAGGTATTTCAGGCACGTCTAAGGCATCGCAGGAGTTGTCTTTGCTTTCAGAATCGCCTCGGTTTCCTCCCTACAGCTTCTCCCACCAGCACACGTGGTGTCAAACGATGGAAAAGAAAAAGTCTGGAGCGGGTGAACAGAGGTAAACTCTCATGCACTACCACAGAACGTCGTCACGGGAGTATGAAGCACCAACCACGACACATGATTCACTTTTACTTGCAGAGCCGAAGCTAACCATATATAAAATGTTAGAAAGTGGGGGGGGGTTGTTCACTAGAAACACGGAGCTGCCGGCGTCCTCGCTAACCCGCCGCGGGGCCGCTCAACCCCTGTGCTACGCTACCGCCAGAAATGAAAAAAGCACAAGACCAAACATTGAGTAACATCATAGTCATCTAACCTGTCGCTATATATCCGACAACTTAAATAAAAAATAATAGTTTGGGAAGAAATCAACAATATCATTCCAAGAAGGTTATACACATCCTTAGCAGTTACTTCGCTCAGCACAGCTCTGGTGCTTTAAATATGGAACAAACGATTTTGTGAGCAGAAAAGTGACACAAATTTATTCTTTACATATTTTTTTTTTTCTTTCTAGGCAACTCTACAGACTTCAGATCTTTTGCCTCGCAATGCAGATCATCTTATTCCCCCAAAGGTGGCCAGGTTCTTTAAACATGCACATCTCTGTAGCTTCCAGGCCGTGTATTTTACTTATTTTTGTTTAAATTCTGCAAACTAGCAGGTCGTCCCCGTTCCTAAAAACTCTACATCAGTGTTCAGGGTGGCCTGAGTGCCGGTCAGGCTCCTCGAGGGTTTACAGGATCACGCAAAAGAACTTCTTCTCTCTAAAGGGGTTTTCTGAGGCCGGGACGGGGGTCAATAGGGGGTCCTCCTTGGCGTGGGCTTCGCAGTACGCCATCAGGTCTGCTGCCGCTTTTGACACCTGGAACAGAAGGAGCCCCGCATTAGGGACAGGCTGCCCTGGGGACATCCCACCCTGAGAGATCCCGCTGGTGGGGCTGGGCTCGCAGCGTCCCCAACCCAGGGTATCATCAGACCCTGGCCAAAGACCTGACCGGTGAAGCGACAGCAAGTCCCTGGTGGGGCTGGTTTTTCGTCTCTGGGCTCTCAGCTCGCCCCTCACACACGCTCCCGTAAGCATCCTGCACATCCTTAACCCATTCGCATCCTTTGCCTGACTTGATCACAGCGAGGACCGGCTTCAGCGGGCGCTGCATCCATCCCCCCGTCCTTTGGTGAGGACATCCACAGCTGCTACAGCAACACTTGCTGCCTGCAGCCACCACCTCGACTATTTATTCTGGACATGGCGCTGCTCCCCGGCTGCC